TCAGAAGTTGGATGACCTGTGCTAGAATACTTTACATGATATAAAATATTAGACACTGGACCTACAAATAATAAATGCACTTTGGAGCTAATGGGACTGGCTAGAGATTTTAGTATCAGTAACAAGACTTTAAGGAAGAAAGCTTTTTGATTTCCAGACAATCAATTTGGGAGCTGCTTCTGATTTTGTAAGATTTCTTCTTGGGATTGTGTCATATTTGTCACCCCATGTTTACCATTCTCCCATTTCAAAAAAAGATGATCCAACAAAGTGGAAATTAATGAATAATATCACTAATATCACACACGATAAAAATTCTGCTGCAGATTATTAAAAAAATTACTCTTAACAGTACATTGACAGAGAACTAGCAAATACAAGCTAGGTTTAGAAGAGGCCATGATACTAGGGATATAATAGCCAATGTTAGATGGATCTTGGCTGAAAGCTTAGAGTACCAAAGGAATATCTGTTTGTGTTTCATTGGCTGTACAAAGGCATTTGACTGTGTGGGTATAGCAAATTGTGGCTAACTATGAGAAGGATAGGAATCCCAGAACACTTACTTGTACTCATGCAAAACCTATACTGGTACCAGGGAGCAGTTGTCAGAAAAGAGGAAGGAACACTGCATGATTCAAAATCAGGAAAGGAGTGCATCAGGGATGTGACTTTTCCCCATAATTTTTCAGTCTATATTTTTTATGAGGACGAATGTGGCATCAGAATTAGAGGAAGATTCATTAACCACCTGTGTTATGCACATGACATAGCCTTGTTTGTGAAACTTAGAATAAGAAGTGTTTGCTGCAGAAGGTCAAGGACTTCAGTCTCCAAACTGGGTTGAAGCTCAACATCAAAAAAAGAGTATCACCACTCGGCCAATTGACAGCACCCTGGTAGATGGAGAAGAAATTGAGATTGTTAACAATTTCAGCTTGCTCAGTTCCGTAGTCAGCACCAGCAGTCAGGAAATCAGAAGACTAATTATATTTTAAAAATCTATTACTAAGGACCTCTCCAGAATGCTGAGAGCATCAGTGTCAGTTTAGAGTCTAAGGTGTCCCTTATCCAGGCAGTGGTCTTCACAGTTACTTGCTTTGCATCAGAGAACTGAACAGTGACAAAGGATGATTTGTTGTTGTTGACTGCTGTCAAGTTGAGCACAACTCATAGCAACCCTGTGAACAAAAGGCCTGAAGCCTTTCTATTACTATCATTGTTTCTCCATGTTCATAGAGTTTTTAGAGAACAAAAATATTGCTGACAACCCAATGTTTATCAATAGGAGGCTGCTTTTGTTGGGCTTAGGAGTCTAATCTTACTCTTTACAACAAATGAAAAATCCTACTACAGTCTATCTGTTCAATCAAGTTCCAATTCAACTCTGTTCTACTAAATTGTGTTCCATTTCCAGGTCACATGTAGTATTTTTTCCTGATCCTAACCACTCAGAGCCAGATCAGATTCCACAAATTTAAGGGTACAGTGCTGCTGGCTGCCAAGTCTGTCCAACACATCAGGCAACTCTCAGAACCCCTTCATTTCTGACTTGCTGGCTACAAACTTGAGAATTTCCTACTACCACTTCAGGATGCTACTGAGAAGCTTGGGAAGCTCAGAAAACCCTCACTTCTGGCCTGCCAACTCCCACTAATCCCTGAGGTTCAATAATTTACTAGAACAAGTCACAGATTCAGGAAAAGCAGTAGACTTATAATTAGTTTTATTATAGAAAAAGAATAAAAAGTAAGAGATGTATAGGGCAAAGTCTGAGCGGACGGACTCTCAACATGAATCTTCCATGTCCCAAGAAAAGATGTGCCTCCCTTCCACATATCAAGGTCTTTCACAAACCAGGAAGCCCATGGAGTCCACTCTTCAATGGTGTTTCATTAAGTAGGCATGATTGACTGCATCATGTTCCATCCAATGAGACCAGCCCCCACCTCAGTCACTTCATTAGTAACTTAATCTAATAGGTAAGTGAGGCCTGGAGCTCTCATCAAGACAGCAATCACTGGGGAAATGATGTAGCCCTGGACATGCTCACTAGTCTATGCCAAGAAATTTGGAAGACAGCTACTTGGTCAAGCTACTGGAAGAGATCTGTATGTCCATTCAAAAAAAAAAAAAGGAGATCTAACTGTGGAAATTATAAAACAGTGTTAATATCACAACAGTGATCTATCAGTTCTTACTGATTATCTGAAGTAGATTGCAGGCCTTTTTTCCTAGTCTATCTTAGTCCAGAAGCTCTGCTGAAAGCTGTTCACCATGACAGTAAGAGGATGATAGAAGAAGAATCAATGCCTTTCAGTAGTTGTGGTGCTGAAGAAGAATATTGAACATATTATGGACTGCCAAGAGAGGTAACAGGTCTCTCCTGTAGAGGGTGGAAAAACTAAATTGCTCCTCGGAGACCAGGATTTTGAAGCTACATCTCACATACTTTGGGCATGTGGCCAGGAGGGACTGGTCCTTGGAGAAGGACATCATGCTTGGAAGGGTGGTAGGACAGAACAGAAGAGAAAGACCCTGGATGAATTGACAGAGTAATGAGGTGATGAGGGTAGGTGTGTCAAAGACAGTGAGATTGGCTCAGGATAGGGCAAGCTTCAGAGCTGTTGTGCATAGAGTTGCTATGAGTAGCAGATAACAAGATAGCGTTTAACAATAACATTTACAATAATTAAACTTTAAGTAGCCTCACATTGGTTTGTTTACTTATGGGGAAAAGAGGTTCTTTGGAATAGAGAAGAAACAATATTTAGATCTCAGGGCCTTTCCTGCCTCCCTCTGAATCTTGTTCTAGTTCTAGTAAATGACACTTATATGTAATGTAACAAGACAGTCCCATGACAAACTTCCCTCTGTTCTATTCAGGAGCAGCCAGTGTTACCACATTCTTAGATCCTATTTCAGAGATTTTTTTATATCTACTCTCATGTGTTCTGTATCCTAGTTGATTTTCCACTTCATGGCTCAGAGTAGCATATGTGGCACACTGTACTTTATATCTCTATAGTCACTGATTTTTAAGTTTGCCCCATATTCATATGTAACAGATGTAATTTTTCTTTTCTTTCTTTTTTTTTTTTTGCATCTACATAGAAATCCATCATATGGATCTACTGTAATTTACTCTAACCTGTTCCTTGTTGGTAGAAAGTGATGCTTCAGTGATTTGTTATGTTCCATCAAGTCCAAAACTGTCAAGTTGGGACTGAGTCTTGGCTGACCCTCCAGCAGGTTTTCAGAGGCCATAGATCACACAGGAGGAGATTGTTCATCTTGCTTCCACAGAGCAGCTTCTGAGTTCAAACCACTGCCTTTGGGTTGGCAGCACAACCCCTTACTGAACTTATTGTACAAATATGATATTGTTGTTGTTGATTGCCTTCGAGTTAAGCATGGCTCCTAGTGACCGTATGAACAAAATGCCTGAAGCCCCTCTACAACTATTGACATTTATCACACTTCACTGAGTTTCCGGAGGCATGTTGTTTAGGAAATGGATGCCACTCCTGCTTCCAAACTTGTCATAGTATGTTATTGTTGTAATATGCCATTGAGTCGCCTGCAATGTATAGCGACCCTATGTACAGCAGCTCTGAACCCTTCCCTATCTTGAGCCAATGTCACTAATTCTGACACATCAACCCCCATTGCCCCAGTTACTGTATCAATCCATCTCATCCAGAGTCTTCTTTTCCTGCCCTGTCCATCCACCCTTCCAAGCATGATGTCCTTCTCCAAGGACCTGACTCTTGGTCATGTGCCCAGAGTAAGTGAGACAGAGCTTCAAAATCCTACCCTCCAAGGAGAGACTTAGCTCACAAAAACAAGGGTGAATCTATAGGTATAATGTAGCATTACAGTTGTCTGAATTTATAATAGTCATGATAAGCACAACTCTGCTTTCTAAAAGGCAGAGTTCAGGTCTTCCTACTTCATTATTTCTGATGTCAGCCTCTTCCCTGTATGGCATTCTGTACTTCGCTGTGGGATCCAATATTTTGTTACAATAGCCACACAGATCTCAGAAACCATGTTAGAATTATCTGATTGATTAGAGAAGTAACAAGGTCCAAGTCATGATCACGATCAAATTGTGAAGCAGCTGGAAATCAGTGTAAGAAAGCACAGAGGCATGGTCTGGGTGGTTCTAGAGGTAGAGTGTGTATCCTTCCCCCTCCTCCTTCAGTGCAGGTCATCTTCTGCCCAGAACAGTCCTTGAAGTACAAAGGCTCAGAGAGCCGATGAAGCCCGCTGGGACAGCTCCAAGACTGTTCTCAGTAGTATTGCTGCCCTTCTCCAGTGACAGGCAGACATGCCTTCGCTGCAGGGGAACTGCCTTCTGTACCATGCAGACCTTTGTCCCTGGTCTTTCTACATCAGATTCTCCACTTTTGAACTCTCAGCCATCAGCCTCTCTATTTCAAACTGACCCATGTCATAGTTTGTGTAGCAGCTTGTTCAACTTTCTCAGTAGCTGCTCTCTTAACAGCAGCTTTCCACTGTTGGAGAGCTCTTTGCTCCACCTCTTTGTTGTCAGGCCTCTTCACTGTTAGCTTCTCTTCTGCTAAATGGCCTAGTTCATAGGCTCTATGTCCCAAAGGACATAACACTGCTCCTAGCGTCTCTAAAGCTGGAGGCCTTGAAAACCTGATTTTTACCAATTTATGCATCCTAATCCTCATCAGTTACAAGATGACACTCCCTTCATAGAAACTAGAGACCAGTCAGCCTTTAATTCGCCAGGAGGGACCAGTTCGTTCAGGTACTGCACAGAATCGGCCTCAGTCCTCTGGAATGGAAAGCTGCCCGACATATCCCTTCAGTTTTGCTTCTCTGTAGAGCAACTTCTCAGGGCTCAGGAGGAAATTGACCAAGCTCATTTTCCCAAGAACCAAGGCCACAAAACGGAACTCATATCCATGGTAGAATAATTCCCCCAAGCAGTATTTGTAAGGATCTTAATATGTCCTTCTCTCCAGGCCAAAGGATGCCATTCGAGCCCTGAAGAAGCGACTCAATGGGAACCGGAACTACAGAGAAGTGATGCTGGCATTAACCGTGAGTACTGTGTTCCTGCACATGGGGTCAAATTGTTATTATCACCAGTTACCATCATTGCTAACTCATGGTATTGCCATGGGTGTCAGAGTAGAAGTGAAGTTTCTCAGTGTCTGATTTCTAGAAGTAGATGACTGCTTCCAAAGGACTTGAACCACCTCCCTATTGGTTACATGTTGAGCTTGTTAACCATTTCACTGGATTGTAGGGAAACACCTGGGGAAAGTTGGCCTCCCTACCCTGTTCTTTGTCCACTTGCATGAGCTCAGGAACTGCAGCTAGTGACTGGGCTCAGTAGGACTGTGCAGTTCCACTTTCTTCTGAAGCAGGGATGAGAACAACTCATTAAACTATAATGAGTAGAATTGAGAAGCAGAAGCCTGTGCTTCATTTCCTTCCTACTCTTTCCTCTGTTCAGGGCCAGTTGTTCCCTGGGTATCAGTCCTCTTCATACTTCCACCTGCTGACAAGGACTGTCTGTCAAGCAAATGCGTAACAATACCTTCCAAAATAAGCTTCCCATTCCCAGCATGTAGATGAGGAAACAGGCTCAGAGAAGTCGGTTCCCTGAGCCTCATATCACTTCACAGATTGTCCATCATTTCTAGTAGAAAGTCATCTGCAGAGGCTCTTGAAGGTCCACTGAGTGGATCCTTGCAGGAATAGGCTAGGTTTTTGTCCATTCCTAGGAGGACAGAGAATTAAAAGAACAACATAAGGTGTTTGTTTCCATCTCAAAAGTGAACATTTCAGAAATGTGACAAAATTGGTGTCACAGTGCCTTTTTATGAAACAAACTGTGATAGATCTGTGTATGCTGGCTCCTCTGGTAGATTGGAATAGTTGCTAATTTTCCCAAGCAGGTATAAAATATTTTATTTATTTATTCAACATTTTCTTGTGTTTTAGGTAGAAGTTTGTATAGGAAATTCATTTTCCCATTCACTGCCTCATATATAGATTGTTCTGTGACATTGATTACAATTCCTGCAGTGTGTCGTGCTCTCTGTGCCCTCTCTGGGTTCTTCATTTTCATTTGTCTACATTTGTTTCCAGTGTCTCTGTCCCTCTCTGTCTACTCATCTTTTGTTTTGAATAAATATTACCCTATTGGTAGCCTAGTGGGAAGAAGATGTGCTACTGTCTCCAAGGCACGTAGTTTGAATCTGCTAGCTGCTTTATGGGAGAAGGATAGGCAGTCTCCTCCCATGAAATTTGCTGCCTCTGATAACCCACTAGAGGGCAGCTATGGGTCAATTCAGACTCAACAGCACACAGCAGCACCACCACCATTGATACTGTATGGTTGATTATTGAAAGGAGCAAATTCTTCACTTTTTTTTTTTTTAATGAGAAGAGCTTGGTTTTTTTTTTACACGTATTCTACAGTTTCGTATTCCTTTTATTGTTAACTATATGAAGTTAGTGGTGGAGGATAATGTTTGCTGAAGCTTAGGATCTGGCTTGCCCTGCTGATAAGGAAAGCTGGGTATCTGCTTTACAGTGGTGGGATAAGCAGCTAAACCTCCCCTCACTGCTCCCTAAACCCTTTGCAGTTTTACCTCTGTATTCTGAAATCAATTACTGGTTTGAAAGACAATGTTCCAACTATTTATACCAAGGCCTGCTTCTTTAACTCATGTCTACCCCACTGAGTTCTATAATATACAGTACTATATTACATCTGTTTCATTCTCAGAGGAAGAGATATATGTAGCCACCATTACATTTTAGCTAAGCATCTCTGACCTTTTTAATATTGGTTAGTCCTATTTTAGGCAGTATTGGAATTAGCAACTACTGTTAGTGTGCTTGATACGGATTAAGCACTTTGGTTTCTGAACAGTTAGTTGTCCTAGGAACTATCTTCTACAAATGAAAGCATCGCTGAGACTCATCTGCCCAAGGACATAAAGCATAATCAATGACTTATTCATTGCAAATACGTTTTTTAAGAGACATAAATGCAGGTTATATACATGGATTTCACCTGATGGTATGCATAGGAATCAGGTTGATTACATCTGTGGAAAGAACCACTGGAGAAGCTCAATATCAGCTGTGAAAACTAGGCCAGGAGCTGATTGTGAAACAGACCACCAACTACTCATATGCAAGTTCAAGCTGAAGCTGAGGAAATTAAACTAAGTCCACGGAAACTAAAATATGACTTTGAGTCTATCCCACCTGAATTTCAGAACCAGCTCAGGAACAGGTTTAAGGCCTTGAACACTAACGAGTGTTGTGGGAGGATATCAAGGGTATCATCCAAGAAGAGTGCAAACGGTCATTGCAAAGACAGAAGAGGAAGAGAAGACCGAAATGGATGTCAGAAGAGACTCTGAAAATTGCACTGGAGTGCAGAGAAGCCAAAGCAGAAGGAAGAATTCAAGATACTGAAGAGTTGAATGGAAGATTTCAGAAGGTAGCATGGGATGACAAAGCAGAATATTAAAATGTGCAAGGAGTTGGAGTCAGAAAATCAAAAGGGCCGAACTCGCTCAGTATTTCTTAAGCTCAAGGAACTGAAGAACAAATTCAAACCTCGAGTTGCTATAATCAAGGATGCTTTAGGCGTTATATTAAATGATCCAGGAAGTATTAAAAGAAGATGGAAAGAATATACTGAGTCACTGTATTGAAAAGAATTGGCAGACACAGAAGACTTTAATGAAACAACATATGAGCAAGAGCCTATGGTGATGCACACCCATGTTTACTGCAGCTTTGTTCACAATAGCAAGGAGTTGGAAACAACCTGACTGCCCATCAACGAATAGATACAGAAGCTGTGGTATATTCACACAGTGGAATGTTATGCTGCATTGAAAAACAAGGAACTCATGCAATATTATTCAAAATGGTTGACTCTGCAGAACATTATGCTGAGTGAAGTATCCCAGTCACAAAAGAACAAATATTGCATGGTGCCACTGTTGTGAAAGAGGACTGACCTTGGTGTTGGGAAGAGACCTGAGTAAGACGGGTTCAATAATGTATACTGCACTGAAACATATGAAGGAGAAAACTGTTTAAAAGAGATATGTGATTAGGTATTTCTGTCATGACAGGAGTCTAGAGCGATGGCTACATGGTGGAGTGGACCTGGGGGAGGGTTTGTAAAACAATGTAAGAATTTGTCTTTTACTTTTCCAGTGTTCGGGGGCAGGGCAGGCTTGTGAGGGGAGAAATGTGCAACAATGAATGAATGGAATAATAAATGTAAATTAAAAAAAAAATTTAAGTTAGAGTAAGGAAGGCAACGGATTTATGATGGCTCATACTAATAACACTATATCATGGCATGGAGGAGGAATAGTGGAACTGTATCCACATTTACAATATTCTTCTTACCAAAACCATTTATGGAAAATAGGAACTGCATTGGAACATGTATCTCTGGATTAGAAATTATAATATTGTTAATATTTCTAGCCTTAAACTTAAAAGATTATATTGTTCAAAATTATTTGTTATATATTTGTTTAAACTTTTCCCTCTTTTAACAACTGGGATCTAGAGGGAAGAAAAAAAGACCAGAGAATGGCCAAAAGTATTGGGGCAGCTATTGCTGCTAGTTTAGGGCCTGTGTCAGGAAAAGGAAGTCTTACTCATAAACAATGCCAACCAAAGGTAATAAAACAGGTCAGAATTTCTTCCACTGTGGACTGGGCCACTTCAGTAGACAGTGTCACAGACGAGAGCCACAGATAGGCAAGGGAGTAGAGAGGAAGCTCCCATTCACTTGCTTTAAGTGTGGATCTGAAGGACACTTGGCCAAGGGTGGCCCCACATCAGGTCCTCGTGGCTGACAGGACTGACAGGCCCCAGCTCCCAGTTGGAAACAAAGGAGGACACTTAATGATTTAGATCATCCCAGAAGAGGTGTGGGTGAGCATTAACATTACTGGTAAGTGTACTCATTTTCTCCTGGACACAAGAGCCTACTATTTGGTCCTAAAAGCTTTCTGAGGTCCCAACTCTTCTCACTATTTCTTAGTTGTTAGAATTGCCGAAAAACCTCATAAGCAGTTCCTTACTTCACCTCTGCCTTGCATGCCGACTTCTGAGCTGTAGAACAACCCAGTGGTAGATGGAATTTGATCCAGGACGTAAGAACAATAAATAACATAGTTGAGCCTCTACATCTTGTGGTTCCTAACCTTTATACTATAATAGACAAAGTACTAGTCAATAGTCCTTTTATTTTAAGAAATACCTTTCCTCTCTAACTTGATTTGTGCTACTGTTAGAACTTCTACTTGGAATATTACTGCTTTTCTTTTTTTAAAATATATTTTTCTTTTTTTTATTGGGGGTACAAGGAGGTGAGGGCTGGGGGCAGAAAGGTGAAGATGGGCAGGGATGCAGTTGCAGAGCTGCAGAAATTGGTTGATGGGGGGAGCAGGTGAATGAAATGAAAGGGATCCAGTGGGGAACAGATGCTACAGGAAAATGACAAGCATTTTCCAATGGTAATTAAATCAACTGTCTTATTGATTTGGGAACTGGATGCAGACTCTCTGGCTTCTTCATGCTGAACAGGGGCATTGATGTGAAGGGGGAAAGGGAGGACACTTTATCACCTTACTGGTGATCTTGGGTTAAGGCTGTTTGCCTTCTTGTTCTGTTAGAAGATATTTTCCTGTCATTTGCTCCCCTCTGGACTGCAGTGTTTTCCCAGGTGGGCCCAGTGGGGATGGCTGGTTGAACCCAAAGGCTCCATCCCCTTTTGCCTCTTTAGCTGCAGTTATATTTCTTTTTGTCACTGGCACTGGGTTCGGGGTCAGGTCTGAAGTAAAACTCAGTGGTAAGGTTACCTATAGGAAAGGGAGCAAACCTGGAGAGAACAAACTTATGAGTTACAAATAGAGGGGTTTTGGGGGTGTTGCTTTCAGGTTTACTGGGGGAGAGGGTGACAGAAAGTAGCCTAGATAAAGTTCTCTGGATACCCTAGGCATTTTTTTTTCCTACCCAGGGGTCAGATGGCACAATCTGGG